AGAAGAGTGAAAATGATTACAATATCACAAAACCAGCATTAGGAACACTGAGACCATTCATTAAGAATAATCTTTACTTTGCTGGGTGCAGAGAGGAACTCAACTAAATTTTTAATAGACAGAAATCAATACACATTGCTATATTTTAAAATTACTTATACAAAATAGTTTGCTTTAGGTACATTTTGATACTCAATCCACTCAACAAATATGCTTTTGAATCTTAAGGTATAGTGATTCACAGGCATATCAGACCTTACCCCAATGGGGCTTATTGTCTACAGAATTTATTTTTAACTAATTTGTGGTCCAATATTCTTAGGGTAAAATAATGTCATTAAATATAAAATCTGGTGCATTATTATAAGGATAAAAAATTATAGGTAGACACTAATGATGAACATAAAAAATAAAGAAATTCTAGCTCTTGCTTTCTAAAATAATAAAAGTTATGTATTCATACACCATTTACACACATATTTACTCAATATATTGATTTATTCACCTTTTAATAAATAGCTGTTGTTCATAGTTGATATTATATTTTGCAACATATATAGACCTCCCTGGAATCATTAATCTTATTCATTTGATAAGCATTTCTTATTAATTCACAATTCAATTAAAATATAATTTAATAGGTCACAAATATAAAATAGCAACAAATAATATAAATTCTAATAAATATGAGTGAGATTCTGGGTTCAGATTCTTCAACATTCCACTATAGACCACTGACATGAATCACTTACAGAACACTGTAAAATGATTCCAAATTCCATTCCATAATTTCCAATACAAAATGGTAACTTGACATCCTTCATGTCAAAAGTTGTCCACACTAAGACAATGATTTCTTTAAGCAAAAACCAAAGTTTCATGAAAAATAAAAAAGGGAAATGAGAACTTAAAATCTGTTGACTGGATATTCATTCCTCCATACCTGAGTTCCTTTGAGACCAGGAGGCCCAGGAGGCCCTCTATTTCCAAGGAGTCCCTATAAAATAATATAGCAATGTAAGCACACAAAATAAACAATTAATCAATTAATATTTTGATCAATCA